CGATCTCCTTCTGGAGTGTAAAAGCTTTGCAGAACGAGACTAGTGCCGTCCAGGACCCCGGTTACCTACTCACCAGACAAAACGCGAGAATATAGTAATTTTCCTTCACGCCGGCCTTCTGTGACGGGTCCTTTTCCGGACGAAGCTGCCCATTTGTGCAAAAGCAGAAGCTGATACGCAGAAAACTCATATACGTACACCCAACACGTTTATGCTTTGATTTTACGTCAGTTCTTTTCATTATTGCGATATTAACGTGTATATATCGACGCTATAAATATTCGCACTTTGCAGTACAGTTCTTTTAATATATTGAATTACATTTCCCTGATTTCGCCTTAGTGGATTAATAATTATTTGCAATAGCAATGGCTTTACGGCCGATTGCTGTATTCTACTATCTATCTATAGATTTGGTTACTAGTGATAGGTATTTGACATTAGCTCCCATAATACTTACCTCAAAACCCTATCTCTAGTTTTTACCTTTACAGATGGATCGAATATTGAAACCGCCCGTTTGTTCAAAATATCTACCATGGTTTAATTTTAATGTTACAGAAAAATACATTTTAATTTATATGAACCGTTAACATAATTATGTTTAAATATAAAATAAACTTATATATTTTTTTAATTTCAAAACACTATCACGTGATGTTCAAATCGCTTGCCATTTCTTAACAAAGGGGCAGCGCCCGTTACAATTAGCCGCGAAAACTTTCAAAATGGCGCCGGGCGAAATGTCAAAAATAAGGTTAGCCGGCGGGAATGTCAGGCAAATGTTAAATCGCGACATTTCGCCCATAATACAGATCCGCTCGGATGACCACCCCGCTGTGTGGCAATCATCCGAATCTCTTATTGTCTAACTGCGCAGTGAGCGTGGCAGGTCTTTGCATAATTGTCTTTAACTTAAACAGTCTTCGCACAAAGCGCTTTAGAAGTTGTTTAAAATCGTAGGCCCTGTCTATTGTTTTATAATTCTCTTTGGAGACATTCTTGCCGTGATTCTCATTTCACTTACTTTAGGAATGGGGTCCGTCTGTTACAAAAACAGTGTTCGTATTTTTATAAACTTTTTAGTATTCTTTTTAGAATTTAATTGGTTCGTTAAAATATATATTATTATACTAAATGGAAGGTAACAAAGCTTCCCGCCAGGTGAAAACTGCCCGTTACTGATGGGATCGTATAATTCATAAAATGGAATGCAAGCACAGCAACACTCCATGATCGTTCGGCATTTAATTTAAAGTTTGTGTCATTTAACAATGTGTTGTATACGCTAATACAGAAAGAGTTATGAAATGTGATGATGACTGTTTACACAACATTAAAAAGAGCAAAAACATTTTAGTATTTGTTTATTATCTAATCATGCATGCGTCCATTTACGACTTGTAACTTTAATATTTTTTTCAATAACTGAATAGTAATGGACGAACAAAATGCATTTTTATATAAATTCCCTAACAATGATTAATACATGCATACAGTGTATCACTTTAATAAACAGTGTAGGTGGCCATAATTACGATATGATTCAAGTATACGATCCAATTGACTTTTCATCACTTTTGTGGAAGTCTTGTTAATTACGGTACGAGACAATGTTTATATATATTTGAAGAATTAATTTGAGAAGAATTACCTTAACAAAATATAACAAAAAGCTATGAGTACAAAATCACTAGGAGTTGGGTAAAACGCCAGCGCAGAGCAAAAGTCATTTGACATCGAACATCTTTTTCTTTTTGACCGACTTCGAAAGGAGGAGGTTCTCCATTTTTTTAATGTTTTTTTTCGACCGAGTGTAGCGATTTTGATGATTCTTTTTTTTATTTGAAAGCTGGTGCTTCCCATTTGGTCCCATATTAATTTCATTGGTATTGGATCTTGGGCTCCGGAGATACTTAGACAACTCCTGAAAATCAATTATAAAATGAATACGGAGAGAGTTATTTGAAGTCGGTTTTGTTTTTCGTTAATAAAAATAGTTTTTATTATTATTTAATAATAAATATCGGAGGCAGCTGAAGTAAGTAAATGGCGCAAATATGAGTCTTTTATGTTTAGATTATATATTTGTGCCATTTGCCGTTGAAACTCTAGATCCGTGGTGTCCACGCACATCAACATTTTTTAAGAGTTTATGTCCTAGGCTTAACGCCGCGGCTGGTGACAAGAGAGCTGGTTCTTTTCTCGCTAAGGTTAAGCATAACTATTCAGCGAGGAAATGCAGCAAGCGTTCTTGGCACCATGCCGCGCGGATTAGGTTTATTAGATAATATGTAATTTTAGCTAGATTAAATCTGGCAAATATTATATCCCGGTACAGTAAATATGTTAATATTATTACTCTTATAAATGAAACTAATTTTACGGATTTATCGCGTTTATTTTTAATTTAAGTTCCCGACGTTCACGACGTGGTCTGTCCCGTGACCATGAACGCTGTAAAGGGTTCGAAACGTCGGGAACTTAAATTAAAAATAAACGCGATAAATCCGTAAAATTAGTTTCATTTATAATGTGTAATCGCGTAAATACAAGAAATTATTATTATTACTCTTTTTTAGAAATATTAATATTGGGCAGAAGTGTACCTTAAAAGTACGCGTGTGTTGAGTGTGAGTTAGTCGGTGAAGCTATTTCTTTGTGTCGTACTACTTTCTCCATTAACATAAAAAGTAGCCGATTTGTAGTGTTGCATACGTAATCATACGTAATGAGGTAATTATCTACATTATTACTTACATTGATTTTTTTATGTGAGAAAGTGGCAAACGAGCTGGCGGCTCACCTGATGTTAAGTGCTGCCCATGGACATTTGCAACACCCGTAGGGTTGCAGATGCGTTGCCACCATAATAATGTTGGCCCAGGGTACCTCACTCACCAGACGAATCGCAGAAGTGCAACACTTCTACCACCGGTCTACTGTGAGGATTACATTAATCTAACTGAAAGCTGTTATATAGCCGCATATATAATAAAATCCCACAGTCGATATTAAGTCTGCCGCTTGATCAATTTAAACGTATTTGAATAAAGATATTTGATTGATTGATTGATTGTTATACTATATATATATATATACAGTGCACTATATGTACATATTAACTATAACAGCAGTCGATTGAATGCGGTAGACACGTCATGTCACACGCCAATTATCTGTTGATCGATGTGGTAAGTGAAATCGATTTAAAGTTTAAATTAAACGTGAATTGAAAATTTGTTTATCAGTTATCTAGTACCTATAATACAAGTGCTTGGCTTGGAACTAGACAACTTTCCGGAAATTCTCTATAAATTCATATCAAACTAGTAAAACAAAAACTGTCTTGAAATATTAATGTATGTCATAAGTTTATAAAACAAATTACGTTTGGTTGGCCGTGATAACTCAGTATCCGGGCGCTCGCCTTTAATTCAATTTTTTCGATTCGGTCCCAGATGCCGGCACCTAAGGGATTGTTAAGTTTAAGTGCTGACTTATCACATGCTCAGTGGTGAAGAAAACATCATGAGAAAATCTGTATATTTTCGAAATAGTAACAAATAAAAATATTTCAAAGATGTGAAGTCCGTAGTGGGGTCGCATGGTGGTCTATGCCCTTATACCCTCTGTACAGAGGAGGCCTGTTAACAACAGTGGGACATTTATAGCCAGTTACTTTACCTCTTTACGTTTGGTTATACATGAGGCAGCTCAGTTCCTGAAATACAAGGTTTCTGAACGAAGATTTGGGTGCAATCGTCTCATATCACACCATTCTGTATCCATTAGTATCGATATATGTGGAATTTTACAGGAGCAAGGAGTGTATCTGCGTATCTCTAAAAACATGAGACCTATTTTCGTATTACAAACAGAATAACAGATATTGCACAACGAGGTCACTAGCGCGAATTTTGATGTCGAAATAATCATCGGGACATCGAACCTACAACGTTTTTGACTTATAAAAATGTAACGCACTACTTACATGATACGACACGAATTGATAAAAGATTTTGATTCAACAACTCTTTTTTAAATTCAACAACCGTTTTTATGATACAATAGTAGAGGGACGAGTGCCTTGTGGGACGCCTATTTACAACATTGGACAAATGTTAGGTTTTAATGATAATGATATTATCATGATGTGACTTCACTTCTTTTTTTTATTTTTACAGTATTGATTTAGAAGACAGTGATACTAACTCTGCGTTCGTACGGGCTTTTTCTTATAAATTAACATTTTACATTTGTCATGCCCACATAGAAAAAATAAGTTATTACCTTATATATATATAATCCTTATGTATGTGCGTATGTCACTGAACTCCTCCTAAATGGCTGGACCGATTTCAATAAATTTTTTTGTGTGTCTTCATTCGAGAATGGTTTGGTTTCACACTTTTTTTCTGTTGTTGTCGGATTTAAGTCGTGTGTACAGGACAACGTTTGTCCGGTCCGCTAGTATATACGTATATACACAGTTAAGTCTATAAATTATATAATTAAGACTATCCAGTGTCTTTTCGCCATGTTGCCTTCAGTCTCAAACTAGGAATTATTTTTAAATTTTTTATATGTGAGAAAGTGGCAAGTGAACTGGCGATTCACCTGATGTTAAGTGATGATCACCGCCCATGGACATTTGGAACACCCGTAGGGTTGCAGATGCGTTACCACCTTTTACCCAACTGGGCCCTGGCTATATCACTCACCAGAGGAAATGCAGAACTATGAAACTTCCACTTCACACCTGTCTTTTGTGAGGTCGTGGTACTTACCCGGACCGACCTGACAACCGCTGTTGCGTGGCCCTACCACAGTTAATTCTCGCACGGCTCAACTAGTCTTTCTTTATAAAATAATGTTTTTCAATCCCGTAGCTTGTAGCTTCATCGGCAACAGTTGTTTATAGTCCGGCACGACTCCAAACAATCCGGGGGCCTAAAGGACCCCACCGTCCCGCAGGAACCTACAATCTCCATACATTACAAGTGGGCATTAGCATAATTCGTACGCGACACACTTCCGAGCGTCATGAATAAACCAAATTCAGCGGCCAACCTTTGTTCGGTGGCCGATTTTATCGCATCGCGAAACTCGTCTTCATGCAATTCTAATGTCAACGGCGGTATGCTCTTTTTTTCTTCTTTTACGCGACGCGGGCCATATCTCAAACCTTGTTTTCGGCCAGTGTCCGGTGCTGCGTAGTTGCGATCGCTTCTATCATTCAGCTCTGCGGGCCTCCCGCCTCCGAGTTTCACAAAGTGACCTATGCTCATGCCTCTGGAAGATTCAATCACTTTGCGGGTAAAAAGTATTTTGGGTCGGCTGCGATTGACTAGATACATATTTATATATAAAAATTTAGCTTCCTTGTGTGTCCACAAAACTGCAAACAAGCCACAGTGAAAGAAAAAAATATAAATAAATATAATAGTATTTTAGTAACTTATAAATGTATGTAGTATTTACGCCAGTATTTTATCTGTGGTATTGCTCGAATGGACAGGATAGACCTTTAATAATTTGACATTAAATGAAAGTACCACAGCAAGTTTTCAAAATTCTAGATAAGAGCCCAGTGTCTAAGAAACAAAACTTAGAAGTATTAATTGAAATCTAGTTGTTCCGGCTTTCTTCGTTTAACAGCAGACCTCATCATTTTACTTATATGCGTGTTGTGTGTTCGTGTGTGTGTGTGTGTGTTTTTATTTTTTCACGCAACTTAATTAAACTAATTCTTTTTCTAAAATAAAAATAATAATTAGTCCTTATATCATCAACTATCCGGAAGTTAAAGATCAATTAAAATTGGTCCAGCCGTTTCAGAGATTAGCCGGAACAAGCAAATGGACAGACACAGACATGCACTATTTTTTAAATTGTTTTGTTTTTTTCTTTTGTAGACGTAACGTCGAGACATTGTTATGTATTGGGTAAAAAATCATTTAGACATTACAAACAGACACTTAAATTTCACTTATTTGTATAGAACCCATTTATACGTTTACAATCGTCATTGATATGGCTGAGGCTTAGACTAGCCGGCGCCTTTAAACCAAAGGTTGTTTCGACTCTTCACTCTTCAGTGTAATAAAGCTTTGGAACTAATCTTAATTTGATTTAAATGCAAAGCCGGTAAACTCATTAAGTCCCAGCCGAATTATAAATATAAAAGAAAGCAAAAGGAATACCAATAATAATCTCCGATCGTTTTATAAATGTTTTATAATAAAATATTTTCCTTTTCCGATGCCGAAAAAGAGACGGTAATCTTTTTAAAGGTTTTCCCGTTGGATTAAATTGGATCCTGGTAGTTTGAAGCGTCAAGTCCCTGGAGAGAAACGAGGGTTCCATTGGCTTTGTTAATCTTGTACAGCGGGCAGGGGTTAGTTTGATATTCCCCTGGTTGCTTAAAAAGAAACTTCGTTTAAATTTAGATTCGTTTTTGTTTCAGTTAGATAGCTCAGTGTCCGGGCGCTCGCTTTTAATTCAATACAGTCGAGCAACCTGAGTTCGATCCCCGGTGCCGGTAGCAAGTAAAGTGTTAATTTTAAATGCTGTATTTATTTATTTATTTAATCTTTATTGCACTTAAAATTATAGTACAAAGGCGCTTTTACAGACTGCTACAGTTTCAGTTAATTTCCAAAGGATTTGGGAACTAATACTTTTTCGTATAATAGAAAAAAACTTAGCCTAGCTCAGTATAGTCTAACTGGCTAACCAAGCTTAGCATAAACTTACTCATTACTCGGAGGCGATGTTGCTAAGCCGACGTTCAGCCGGGGCTCGTGGGTGCGATTCCCACGCGAGACAAGAATTTGTGTGACCCAAAGATAAGTGTTCCGAAACTGGTGTTTTCCAAGGAAGGTAGTTACGAGTAGGTAGACGGCCCACCGTAAAGAACTAGTCAATACCGTTAACAACATCATTCACATATCGAGCCGCCTCACCTACGTAATATAGGAAAAAGTAATAGATTTGGAGGAGGAACGTTTTAAAATATATTACCGGCTTCATAGTAAAGACTGGGTTATATTTTATTAGTTTTTTAATCCCTCTAAATTACCACCGAAGCAGTTTTTGTGCTCCTAATGCTAAAACGGATCGAACAGAAACGCCTTGGTTCTATCCCCGCTATTTACCAGGTTATTAGGCGCTATGTTATGTGGTTAGGCCAGCATAAACAGGCTATTAGGTTAACATAAATTATGATCAAAGAAATTGCTCACTTTTCCCAAACAACAGTTTGAGAAAAACCGGCCAAATGCGAGTTGGAGTCGAGTCGCAAGTCCGTTCTACGTTCGTATTTACTAAAAAGGTTTTATTAAACTTTTAAATTAAATATTAATTATTTATTTTTTTAGTATTTATTGTTATAGCGGCAACAGAAATATATCATCTGTGAAAATTTCAACTGTTTTACGATCTGTTCATGAAATACAGCCCGGTGACAGAAAGTCAGACAAAGTAATAGGTTTTACCGTTTGGGTGCGGAACCTTAAAAAGCGGAGTAGCTGATGAACGGACAACTACACAAAACATCTGGAAAATTTCAAGCGTATTACCTTCTTCGGCTGCGTTTCTTCCGGTTCGGCGAACGGTAAAGTTATACCGGGCGTACTGGTGTACGTCTGGTCCTCTGTACCAGATCTGTTCACAGATAAGACGCCAGTACCACCAGCCCAGCTCATTTCTGCATCAGCAGAAGCGTTACACTATAGAAAAATGTTGTAAAGCCTTCGGTTTGTAACTTAATTTCAACTCGTTATAGTAACTCGTACTGTAAAATAGCTCGAGGGACATTGCTAGCTCACTAGTTCTGTGACAAATAATACCGGGTAAATTAATATGAAAAATTACTGTTTGTTTTGAATTAATGGCGAGATCTAGGATCGTCGATTCGAATAATATGGTCTTCAGTTTCAAAGACTTTTTTTATTATGTCTCCGTATAACAAATACAGTCGACAGCTTAAGTGTTTTTGACTTAATAAGTATAGTAAATGATTGAGCAATCGTGCTGCAATGCTACAATAATTTCAAAATAACTCTTAAGGTTTAATCGCTTTTAAGTTATTTTAAAATAAAATTTCAAAATAACTTAAAAGTGATTAAAACCTGTAAAAAGTTTTAATTACGGGAACCAATTTCCGTAACAATATAAGTACTGTAGGCGTGAGCACGTTTGTCCTTAACTATTTACATATTTCGGCGAAAAAGTCTGAGGTCTGAAAACCTTTCATTTCAATAAAACTTAACCAAAAAATGGACTAAAAGATAGCTGCTGCGGGAATCGAACCCATCTTCCGTCCGAAACACTTTAACCACTTAGCTAAACGGCCCATGGTAGTAATCATATTCTTCAAACTTTAATGTTCCATCTTAAGGGCAGAGATTAGCACTATAAAATATTAACCTTTTATAACTCAACTTTACAAATAACTCGATACATTGAAATCGGTTTTCAGGTCCTTGCAAGTGCAAAGAAATAATCACTTCTCAATAAGCCAAACTCTTAAAAAGCACATCGCGCTGTGTAAGCAACAGCCGCATACCGAAACCGCTTGCTAACGTAAACATAGCCCGCTCTATGATTCATTAGCACGGCGTGCTGGAAATATTTGCTTGTACTCTCATTCCGGCAGCCCGCTTATCGTGAGGTGCGGTTAATGGAGTGTCGATTTCTCGGAAATTGAAACAATGCCCCTCAGCGGCCGCCACCCAAGATGGACGGGAATGTTGATACGTTCCCGTCAAATCCGCTTCTCAATTTGCAACGTAACCAGTGACAATTACGTAAGTTCAGAAGAATCTAACGAACCAATAACAACTAAGTTCGGAAGAACCTCAGTAGGATGGAAAAAAAGTTTTTTCCCGCCGCGGGAAACGCGCGCCCTCCGGAATCGCGCCCAGACGCTTTAAGCACTAAGCTAAATGGCTAGCCAAATTTTCGTCCATTTGTGAAGTGATTTTAGTGTTACAGATCTTAGTGTTTCGTCTAAGTGCAGAGTTTAGCACTAGATAGAACCCCACTTAAATATTTTAAGTACCTATTTGTTGCTATAGGGGAAATAGAAATGCATGATCTGTAAAAATTTCAACTTTCTTACTATCACGGTTCATGAGATGCAGCATGGTGACAGGCGGATGGACAGACAGATAGACAGACAGCGGAGTCTGGTCTTACCCTTTGGGTACAGAACCCAAAAACTACGAACTCTCATATTCTTAACAGTTTAATGTGTCATAAAACTCGGTCCGTGTGACACCTCTTCTTTGGATGATGTTTTTTCTTGCAACCTTAAGGACTTTATGTAAAGGACAACAAACAAAGAGCCCGTTGAAAGATGAAAGAATCGGACCTCCTAACCTACGAACCACCAAAGCAACTGTATGAATTATTTATAAGCCAAGTAGCCTCTATTGACATAAGTTCACCGACCTCACGGCGTTGTGCCGACACTCCTCCCCAGGGACCAAACACCATTCAAACGACGGTGACCATTTAGCTCACTGGGTCGTGACATTATTTCAACTAGATTTCAGTAAGGAAATTTAAGATGCGCCTGAATATATGATATATTCAGTAATTCGAAAGTAGCTTTCCAAATGTCACAAACTAATTTAAAACTTTAATTTTTATAGTGCTAATCTGTACCTAAGATGAAATATTAAAATTTGTACAAAAATGGACGAGACGTTTCTCGCCTCTGCGGGAATCGAACTCACCTATTCCGAATTCGCGTCCAGCTTTAACAACTGAGCTAAACGGCCAAATGCCACAGCGACCTCAATGTCTTATATCTACATTGTTTTTTGGCATTTTAAGCAATGCTTGGCACATATATTGTTACATACTTTACAGCGTACTATTTCAAATATTGTTTCACAAAGATATTTCTAACGAGAAATGCCGCCATTGCTATATGAAGTTTTATTTTTTATAGTGCTAATCTCTGCACTTAAGATGAAACATTATTTTCGTTTTTCTACAAATTTTCTAATAATAATTTAATGCAAGTTAAGTATGGATTGAAGTAAGTCTATTTACGGCCAGAAGACGTCTGCAAGCTCATCCCTAAAAATGTGCTCGTAAATTCTGCTATGCATTAGTTAACAGTTATATTCAACAATGATACAGTGATGCATTTTCTGGTTGGAACACCAGGTTTGGTACTGAGATCTCATGTTCGAATCCCTGAATCGTGCAACGAGAGAAAGTACATTTTATTTGAAATAATATATATAAATACTAGCGACCTACCCAGGCTTCG